TTCTGCTCCTTGGCTACAGTGAGGTGAGCAGCCTCCACCACAAGCTCTCTACCAGGATATTAGGTCTTACCAAAGTCCCAAAGCAACAGCTAGCTGTGTACTGAAACCATGAACCAAAGCAAATCTTTCCTTCTTTTAAAATTGTTCTTCTTGAGTGCTGTCACAGAGATTGAAAGTCTGACTAACACACCACCTCTACCGTCTCTTTGCAGGGACTGCCATTCCCTTCTCACCATGGATTAACGCACTGTAGGAACTGTCAAACCTTTGGCAACAAATAGACTTGGAACATGTCCTGTAGGTCTGTCATCTCACTGAGGTGAAAAACAGCTTAGTCCAAGTCATTTCAAGAAACATTTACTGATTACCTAGTAAAATATCAGATATACCAAACTTTACACAGAAGATACAAAGATAACTGATAAACCATCACTGCCTTTGCAGAACTTGCACGATGGATGTTGGGATACTTAGCTTTGTTACTTTCCATTCTGCCATACTATTTGAAGAAGTTGGAAAAATTAAGAAAAAAAATTACACCTCTGAGATTCCCTTGGCAATCAAACTATAGGTTCAAATAAGTTCTGCTAAAGAGATGTACTTAAGATAAAAACAGGTGCGAGTAAATACAGGCTACTTCCTGACATCTGTGGCCATTTGCAAGCAAGTTATGATGACATGAATATTATATCTACACTCTTCTTAAGATCCTCATGGTGGGAGACAGTAACAGTATCCTATCATCAGCTCCATGTCTACATTCTAATCAAAATAAACCTGCCTGGCGCTGTTATATCTCACTGCCCTGATACCAGTTTCTTTCTCAGTCCAAAATGTCTACTGTAGGTGTGGGCAGTTGCTCTCTTTCTTCTTAGACACAGATCAGAGCTTTGTTGATTTTGTGGCTATCCCATCTTAAGTCAAGGTCTTCCCCAGAACTCTCTGTTAACTATTGTGGCAGAGGAAAGATGGTCCAGAAAACTGCTCAAGGATCTGTTTCATCTCATCCTAGAAGTGGCACATTGCTTCTCATACAGTATTGGTTCTCAACACATGGCCCATGACCCCTTTGGCAAACATCTATCTCCAAAAATACTTGTATAATGATTCATAAGAGTAGCAAATTACAGTTATGAAATAGAAACAAAAATAATTTTATGATTGTGGGTCACCACAACATGAGGAACTATATTAAAGGGTCCCAGCATTAGGAAGGTTGAGAACCACTGAGCTAGAACAAGATGCATAGCTATACCTGCCTACAAGTAGACTGGGAAATGCAAACTTTTCTATGTCCGAAGATGCAGGGGGACCAAACAGGTGACATGACTTGGGATTCAATATCCTGCAGATTTGCAATCCTCAATCCCTTCCAAGGATGTCAGAAGTACCAAAATGCTGAAAGGAAGTCATTTTATTTCTCAAAATATTTAACATTGTTTAGGATTCCAGTTGGGTGGCCGACTCCACTGTGCACTCACTCACAGCTTTGACCTCTCACTTGGGTCTGTTCCTACCTCTCTGCCCTCTGCTCTGTAGCAAGTCCTCCCATGGAGCTTTTCTCTCCTAACACTGAAGTACAGGGCTATTTCCTGCCTTCATCCTGCCTCACACCAGTTTTAATAGTCAAACCGTATGCTGTTTCCTAGTATCACTCCTGCTGGAGAACCTTATGAAAAGGCAGATTTTATTAGAACCTAGAGTATGCCAGTTGGTTAGACTGGATGGCCAGCAGGTCCCAGGAATCCTCCTGCCTCTGCACCCAACACCACAGTAGATCTCCTCTGCTTTTAAACATCAGTGGCTCTCAATTGCACCCTTTCCCAAATACAAGTCTAAACTGCAGTCCAACAGAACTGATTTCAGTTCCCTCTGTATAGTACCTCTTCCTCTGAGGCTCTGCTCATGAGAATCGCATAGACACTGCTCCCCACCCCCACTGTCATCTTCAGGCCTCAGCTCTAGTATCACAGTCCCAGAAAGCCTTCCATAAACCTGCTGAACTTGGCTCCTTGGTGTTATCTTCTATCACAGCCATCTCCCTTCGCCATCACTTACGCACATCACTAGGTGTTATGCCGCAATCGCAACTCTTTGCTTATTGCCCTACGTCCTCCATAGGCTGTAGCATCTGTGACACGGCTCAGATCTATAAAGTGCTTGACACATGATAGGAACTCAGTAAGTGCCAGAAAGTTCCTGAATACTTCTGAAAGCTTTGAACCCTCTGGACTACTGCCACCTCTCATTCAATGACAAAAATCAAAAGAAAAAAAGAAACCTTTTAGTCATCCTTCCTCATACCTATCTTCTACTCACTTGTGAAACCATTTTAATATCACTTTGCCAACATCTTTTACGGGAAATTCTCTCACCAAGGTAACCAATGACCTATTAGCTTTTCAGCTCTGTAGCTGCTTTTCAGTCCAAATCCTCCAGGATGTGCAATGCACAATGTGCAAGTTTCTCTCTCTCTCTCTCTCTCTCTCTCTCTGTGTGTGTGTGTGTGTGTGTGTGTGTGTGTGTGTGTGTGTGTGTGTGTGTGTGTAGGCCACAGATCAACATCAAGAATTTATATCAATTGTTCTCTGATACCTCTTTGAGACAGGGCCTCTCACTGAACTGGCAGACTATCAGGTCCCAGGAATCCTCCTGCCTCTGCACCCAGCACCCCAGCAGAACCTAATAACTAATGTTATAAGATTCAAACTCTTTCTTGGCTTTCAGGCAATCTCTCTCAATCTCTTTTTCTGGCTGCTTGTTCTTGGAAGCCTTCAGAGTTGCCTCTTCCATCGGCCCATTAAGTAGTCTCCAGAGCAACTCCTCCTTACCCGGCTTTTGGGCTTCCGCCATCAGTGAATACCACAATTCCCAAGTGCATATTTTCAACCTTAACCTTTCACAGGCACTAAGGCTCAACCTCACTCCCTGCAAACTGCTCCAGTACTCATTATTTCCTCTATTCCCAGCTGCCCTCAGGCTTGCAGTGCTCAATCCCCATTTCTGCAAATTACAAACATCAATCCACTGTCTCCCTGTCCCTCAAGGCAGCAAAGTGTCCACTACCAAATCCCCAGGCCCAAATGTCAAGCCCTGTCTGGGCTTTATTTCTTCACCAGGAACACCTCCTACTTTCTCCCAAATCCTAAATATTCTTTATTATTCATAAAGCTGATTTGTTTCAATCCATCACTTTCTCTTCTAAACTCTACTCAGTTTGAATTTATTTATTTTTCCTTTGTCTTGAGTTTTGTCTTTTAAAAACTTTTATGTATTATTTATTATTCTTGTGTGTGTGCGAGTGAGAGAGATGTGTGTACACAGAATCATGCATGTCATGGTGGTGTTTGGAACTCAGAGGACGACTTTTTAGGGCTGGTTCTCTTCCCACTTTTACATGAGTTCTCTGGACCAAAGGTGATTCACCCATTGACATCTCACAGTTTTGTCTTTAAGTTTTAATAACATATTTATTTAGTATTTATTTAATATGAGTATATTTGTAGGTGTGTGTGTGCCTCACAGAGAACTTGTGGAGGTCAGAAGCCAACCTGTGGGATTAGGTAGTTGTTTCTTTCCACCACTTGAGTTCCAGGAATCAAATGCATGTCATAGGATTATCTGCAACATCTTGACCAGCTCAAGACTGTAGAATTCTTAAGAGCAGTTTTTGGGTTTGGATCATGGAGTCTAGCTAGTGACTGATGATTTAGGCAATTAAAATATTTATATGAATAAATAAAGGAGTGGGCAGCAGAGATGGCTCCGGGGTTCCAAATCCACACGGCAGCTCACAACTGTCTGTGACTCCAGTTGAAGAGTATCTGACAGTCTCCTGGCTTCTGCTGTTAGCAGGCACACATGTAGTACACAGGCATACATACAGGCAAGACACCAGATATATAAGCTGAATTTAAAAAAAAAAAAAGTAACTAAATGAGCGATCTAGGGAAAAGAATTTTTTTCAATTACATCTTTTCAAAGATTAAAAAAACCAGATCCCAGACTGGAGATGTAGCTCAGTTGTGAGGTTGCTTGCCAGCATACATGAAAGGCCTGGGTTTGATCCCTAGAACTGCACAAACCTGGCATGGCTGCACATTCCTATCAACCTAATACAAGGATGGCAACTTTAACAGGATCCTTGGCTACATCAGGAGTTTGAAGCCAGCTTGAGCTACAGACTAACCAAAAAACAAAATAAGCAAGCAACAATAACAACAAACACACCACCCCCACCCCCGAAAGCATTATGTAGCTAGGTTAATAGCATAGATTTTAACAATAGATACTGTATGTTCTGGGGAGTCTCTCTCTCTCTCTCTCTCTCTCTCTCTCTCTCTCTGTGTGTGTGTGTGTGTGTGTGTGTGTGTGTGTGTGTGTGTGTGTGTGTGTGTGTGTGTGTTACTCATCTAAAAAGAATTTGTTTTTTTTTTTTTTTTAAGCATGCCTTCAGAATCTAGTCCTTTTTCTTTCCTGGGTGACAAGAATTAAATAAACAAGGCATCAATAAGAGGAAACACATGGCACAGCCCCATGCTTGGGCCCTTGATGTGCCCACAACACATTTTAATCTTTTCCTTTCTCTTACCTGACTTTCATCTAATGCTTAAGGGCTAGCGAATTTAGAATCCCTACAGAAAATTTTAGATTTGGGTTTCTATTTGTCTCTGTCTTCCATGAAATCGCTAGAGGGGGATGGGAAGAAAGGGGGCGGTGCAAACCCAGAAAGGAAAGGCGCAGAGGAAGCTGCAGAAGGAAGCTTTTTCGGCTGGGTTTGTCTTTTTTTAACCCGCGGGAGGAGTGACGAGCTTACTGCCGTCGCGTGTTAGCTTCCCCAGCTTCCCCCTCCCGGCGTGCGTCTGCCAGCCTTGAGTTTCTCCGCCCTCCGCCGGCCGCCCGCCGGGTTCCGCGCTGAGTGCGCTGCAGGCTGCTGCCGCTAGGGGGCCTCTCGGGCCCGGAGGCGGCGGCGGCGGCGACCGTTCTTCCAGTGGCGCCTCTCCCTGCTCGCAATCAGACGGGCGGCGGCAGCGGCACCGAAAGGGCGCCCACTGCCCGGGCGAGCTGCAAGGCGACCGCTCCTCGCGGGCGGCCGGGGTCCGAGCTGCAGCTGCCGGCGCCCTCCGGCCCGGGCTGCCGCCACAGGCAGCCCCGGCTCCCGCCGGCTCGCGGCGCCCCCCGGCCGCGCCCCCACGCGCTGCTCGCGGCCCCGGCCATGGGGCTGGGCGGATCCGAGGCTCGGCCGAGCTGAGGCGGCCGAGGCCGTCTGCTCAGCTCGCTCGCCGGCGCCTGGCCCTCACGATGATGAAGAAAAAGAAGTTTAAGTTTAAGGTTGACTTCGAGCTCGAGGAGCTCTCCTCGGTGCCCTTCGTCAACGGGGTCCTCTTCTGCAAGATGCGGCTGCTGGACGGCGGCAGCTTTACCGCGGAATCCTCCAGGTAACGGGTCCCCTCGATCTGCTCTCCGGCACCCGCCCACCGGCAGGGGCTTGTTGCACGGCCAGCATCTCTCTTCCTTGCTTGGCCCCTTTGCTCTGCCGAGCTGACAGCCCAGTGAGCTCATCGTCCTCCGGGGACAAGTCTGAGATCAGTCAGGGCATCAAGTGCTTCTCAGTGCGCTGGTCTAGTTGGCCTTGACTCCAGCGCTCCTGACTCCAGGTGGCCACTGGTGTCTGCTTTCCTCTCAGTTATCCAGGAGTGGGAGTGATGGAGACACACGGGGAGAGGGTGCTTCTGGTTTCTCTATAGACATTCCCATAATTGCAAAATACAAACTAGAACTTAAAGCTTTTTAGAAGCGAAAAAAAAAATAAGAAAGAAAAAGAATTACCCAAAAGGTTCCAGTTCCAAGAGCGCCCACTCGGAACCATCTGTGGTTGACATTAGTTCCTGTGACTCTACTGTGACTTAGGATGGCCAGGCCAGGAGAGGGCTTGGGATACGCCTGCCGGGGTTTGACTTGAGTCAAGTGTTCCTGGCAGACAAGGCTGCAGTCTTTGGCTCGACCAAGAGCTCTTTGTCCATTTGATACGATGATTTTCTCAATTACCCATCTTCTAGTGCCACTGGTGCGTTTCAGAGTGGAGGACTTAGAATTGGAGAGCTCAGACCCTGTCCTCATTTTGCAATGAGCCCCTTGGCACTGTGGGAGAATCCTTCAGCAGTGACAGAATGCAGCCATGTGTGGCAGGATTCCTTGAGTAATTTAAATCAGTTCACAGATTGGATTTATCCCTAAGTATTTTATTTTCTACAAGAAGTCAGAAAATTGGAAGTTTTGGAATGAACTTTTAAGTTCTTAAAGTCAAGGAGAAGGGCTAATAATCAAGTATATTCCATATATATATATATATATATATATGATTTTTACACTAAAAATATTCTTTTCATCTGCTGTCCCATTGATAATGTAAAGGAAATAATGCCTATGGGTTGTGAGATGGAAGCCAGAAAATTGCCCTCTGTGGCAATAATGAAACCTATGGAAGCCAGAAAACGCCTAATCATCTAATGAACAGATGTGTGAAATGCTACTGATTCTCAAAATCACCAAAAAAATAAAAAGTTCACTTAGATTTATTTTTAATATTAAACTGTAATGACAAACCTGTAGGCATTCTGCTAAATGGTTATATTATAACCATTTTAACACTCCTGTCAGAGAACAATGAACTATGCGAAAACAATATATACAATACTAGCTATTGGGATGGAAAAGCCTAAACCAATCCAGGACGTCAGGGGGGTGGGGGGAGGTCAAGTGACAGCCTTACCCAGAGGCCTAGACAAAGTTTTCCTGCTTGGTTCTTAACCCCCTCCCCCAACCTAGAGCAGTTAGGCTTGGTCTTCTGGCCCAGTGCTGACACCTGGTGGTCAGAACACGGGTCTGAGACCTTTTCTTTTCCCTTGCTGAGTGTTAATTTGGCGTGCTTCTCACAAGCCAGTTAATCATCAAAAGCAGACAAGCAGACTGTCCCCTCCCCTCCCCACCCCCAGTAAACAAGTCCACTGGGTCTTTTAAACATACTTTCTTATTTACCACCCTAAACAGAACTGTGAAGCCGAGGTTCTTACTTTGCAAGTAAATGAATTGAGTCTTAGGAAGCATACTTTCCCAAGACCTCACCCCCACCCTACTTCCCCACCCCCGCCAATCGCACCAGATAGTGCAAAGATTCTGGTCCAGGTCTAGAGCTCCAAACAGTATGATGGAGGACAAAGGGGAAAGCTGTGTGCTGTTAAAGAGTTTCTGAAGGCAGTTTCCTAATAGTTTAAGATGCAAAGGCTGTAACTGGATTTATCCTCTCAGGCGGGGGCGGCGGAAGCCAAGTAGCCTGGTGTTAAACCCTTCCTCCAGCTAAAATCTGGCTTTATCAAGAGAAATAAGGTTACTAACTAGTGGGAGTGGGGGGATGTAGTCTGAAGGGAATGGTTCGTGATGAGGAACACCTGCTTTTGAAGCTGTGCGAAACTAAGAGCAAGGGCATAGAATGGAAGTGGGGCTAAGTAAATCTCAGTTCATGGGTTTAGGTGTTCACAGATAAAACTTGAAAACCTGAAATAGTGATTTGGTGCTATCATGAGGATTTCATTGAACAGCACACCTAAAATGCTACTACAGTACTTTGGCATTCCGTGATGAATTTCTGCTTATTTAGATGTTCTACCAACTCCTTTATCCTAACTACCGAAGATTGGTTTAAGAATGATTGCTTGAGCCAGCTATAGTGTTGCAGACCTCAGTCCCAGAACTTGAGATAGAAGCAGAAGAAAGCTAGCTTGAACTACATAAGACAGCCTTAAAACACACATGCACACATAAGCTTGAACATACAGACAGGCGCACACACACACACACACACACACACACACACACACACTTACAGGGAGAAATAGAAAACCTAAAATATCAAAATTATGTGGCATCTAAATAGCACATGCCAATCTAGACAGTACATTTCTAAATGCTAGGTTTTAATTCTAAAAATTATTCTAGCTGGGCAGTGGTGGCACACACCTTTAATCCCAGCACTCAGGAGACAAAGCCAGGTGGATCTCTATGAGTTGAAGGTCACCTTGGTCTATAGAGCTAGTTCCATGACAGCCAGGATGGTTACACAGAGAAACCCGTCTCAATAAATAAATAAATAAATAATTACTCTAGGGAACTTTTATGAATCAGAAATGAGAAATGATTGAATGATTGTTGCTAACATTTCTCTGATAGTGATATGAAATGACTTCTGTGTAGAATAGTTAAAGCAGGCTCAAGACCACCACCTTGACAGGCCTACTGACAAGATTATCTTTAATTAGTGTCATGATCTTCCTGCCTGGATGATGAGCATGGCTTACTGTGCTTACTCTGTAGAAACCGTGTGGTTCACACCAAATGCCTTCTGAGAGCCTGGAGTTTTAGTCCCACTAAGCAGAGGACAGTTGCCTAAGCCAACAGTCCCCATTACACCTAATGAACTTCCTGTTCCACGACACATGGCCACAACCCCATGCTAGAGAAGCTGTGAGCTGATTCCGCTATGCATCCAGGAACTAGAATGTCTTTAACAGTCAGTACAGCCTTATGCTGAGTCCACTGCATTCTAAGGAACCCCCAAATGCTAAGCGTAGTCTTAGTGACCCCATACAAAATAATATGTATACTGTTGGAGAAGAGACTTAATGGATCCACATAGGCTACACAGTAAACACACACACACAACCTGGCTTTGCTCAAAAACTAAATGTGCAGATGATTCATAGCTCGTCAGATATCACTTAAGCACTTAGCGGATTTCTAGCTCTCTGTCTAGGGAATTGAGAAGCAAAACCAATACTAGGATCCATGAGTGAATTACCTCTAATAAATGAAATTAGAGCCTAGATGTTTGCTTGCTGGACAATAGGGGGACAGACATATGGCTTACTGCTTAGTCAGTGGGTCAGATGCTCTGTGTCAAAAAGGAAAAGGCCTTTATTTGCAGATCTGATATCTGCTGAAATCCACTCTGATATTTGTGCTGAACACACCCAGAGCATGAGTTTGCACTGAGGAGGAATCAAGGTGGGAGGACAGCTTGAACAAACCATTATAGAGTCTGTGCTACATCAGCCTGATGGCAGAGTTCACATGAACAGAAGCAGAGGGTAATATTAGAAAGGGGCTCTGAACAACATTATACGGTTTGATTTCCCTGCTCAAAGAATAGAATTCAATCCAGGATTCTTGAACTGCGTTGTAATATGATTAAAGTAGAAATCAACCTGGTTGGCAGCTTGCTGCTGTTTGGACTTAAGTGGAAATAGATAGATTAGAGACAGGGAGACAAATGAGAGGCTGTGAAAATAATCTGGGTCTTGTGAGAACATGAAGGCAGGCTTTCGTGTCAGTAACTCGTAGGTGGTGGGTAATACACTGGCTGATGCCTTGCGCCATTGACAGAAGTAGGAAGTTGAGGAGATGCTCTTTTGGTTGTGCAGGGGAGGGGCATTGTACATAGCTATAGGGTAGCAGTTCTTAACTGGTTGGTCTTGACCCCCACAGGGATCACATATCATATATCCTGCATATCAGATATTTACATTGGTTCATAACAGTAGCAAAGCTACAGTTACAAAATAACAATGAAATAATTTCATGGTTGGGGGTCTCCACAACATGAGGAGCTGTATTAATGGTGGCAGCATTAGGAAGGTTGAGAAACACTGCTACAAAAGGTATGAAGAGTTAAACTGTATCCTTAATGTATTACATCTAAGATGACAGGGCCTCACAATCAAAGACACTGTTATTTTGGTATGTGGATTTCTTATATTCTTGGCCTCTTGGAGTCGTGCAAGCCTGTCTATATTCCTATTAGAATTTCCATACACTGTTTTGTCTGTTTATGGATGATTAGTGAAAATGAATTTTAGAAGGATCTAGATTCTCTTGAGAAAGTATAATCAGTAAAAAGTTAGAGGAAATATGAAGCTCTTTATTTTGAATAAGTGAGACTAAAAATGGTTAAGGCAAGTGGTTAGGTCTCATCACAGTTAGCAAAGCTTTGAAAATACAATACACTTTTATAACGGTCCGCTCAGCTGAAGCCAAGTGACTGCCTAATAAATTATTTTTGAAGACCTTCCAGAAAAACAGAACATTGTCTTATTTGAATCTTTCCAGACCACTCCTTATGAAGCATGTAAATCACTTTTAAAACTTATGGGGCTTGTAAGGATGTGTTTAATTCTATTTAAACAAAGAGATGATGGTAAGGAAATTTCTCTACATACCTACAATTGCCCAGTTTGCCTTGTCTTCATATGTGTGTATGTATGTGTGTTATGTGTGTTTGTGTTGGTAACTAAAGAAGTTTCCAAATTCCACATGAACTTGTGGAAAAAACCCATGTGAACTCAGGGAGTGTCCGGGAAGCTGACGAGCACATCTGTGTATTGGA